TTCTTCAGCTAAACCCATATCAGAGTGTGGCGAAAATATTGAGGCGGCAATAAGCCCCAATAATTGCCAAAAGAATATTGTCCAGAATTCTCTAAGAGTAGCATAATAATAAGTTTGACCGAAGAAAGAGCCAGAGAATTAATCCTACAAATGTTTTTCTTTCTTTTCATCCTTATGAAACAGGCAAAGCATAAAGCTAAAAATTAGAGGAAGACCAAAAGGAGTCTTTAGCGGTGGATGAAACGGAAACAGAATATCCATCAGGAACATGTAAGAAATGACTGAAATGGGATGCAAGAGGACACGGCCCGGGTAGCAGCAGCATAAAAGGGTCTACAGCTCGTAAACTTGGAGTATCTTTGTGTCATCTCGATTTTCTCATCCAATACCAGGAATCAAAGCCACTGATTACAACGTTAGCATACTTCTTGGTCTAGATAAAGAAAGCCATTTTGTAGCCAGACACGACTACAGTTTTATTCCTTCATGTTTTTATCAATCTCTATCTGTGGTTCTGAAGGCTTTTCAGCCAGACCTATGTGCCACAGAGCCATGCACTGTCTTTTGCTATAACAGGGTAATAAATTGCCAACGTCTACACAAAAGTGCATTAATATTTGCAATCTCATCTCATTTTGCATCTCATCATTGTGCAATCTCATGGCACAAATCTATTCCATTATCCTTTTTCAAATGGAAAAAGTTGTAATTTCACATAGAAAGTAGGACCCTGTTCTGGAATATAACTCATTGGAAAGTGATCTGAGCTTTTATGTCCTACAAGGGATCAGCAGTGATTTGTTTTTGTCATATTTTATGTCTTTATACTCTAAGCATATGCCTACTCCAAGTCTCTGTTAGTCTGGATGTTTCTGTCCAGAAATGTTCCTATGGAGGCCCTGCATTCCCAAACTCCTCAACTTTTTTCCTACTATCGCCACCAATATTGGAGCTATACAGCATTACCTAATTGATATCGCTCCTGAATCTGAGCATCATGTAGAAAATCTTCCTAGTGAATCTCTACTATCCTATTGAAATTATGTAAATATGTATCTATATATATCACATTATTATAAATATATATACATAATATCTACATTAATATTAAGAGTTAAGATGATTTAAAAAATGATAGACTTCAGAATGATTTGCTGAATATGGGTTAAAAGAGCCCCAGATAGATTGACGAACAATAATATCGCAGGGAACATAGACAAAATTTCTGAAGTCAAGAAGGACAGAGAATTAATACAGGCATAATAAGAAACAAAAGGGAACTTATTTTACATTAATGAACATCGTTTAATAATCTTACTTTATTCTACACAAGTTTAGTCTGTACTTTTCCTTTTAGAATCTGAAGCACGTTTCGATGAGATAATCAAGGAAACGAAAATAAACATCAGCAAGAATCAAGTATCTTAAAGAAAAAGAAGATTCTCATTATATATTTTTTATTTTTTCTTTTATTAAATCAATCATTGAATTTTAATTTACTAACATGATATTTAGTAGTTACAAAATCTAAAAATTGCCGGCGCGGGCTCAGCCGTAATCCTAGCACTTTGAGCGAGGGCGGCGGATTGCTCGAGGTCAGGAGTTCGAAACCAGCCTGAGCGGACCCTGTCTCTACCAAAATAGAAATAAATTATTGACAACTAAAATATATATTACAAAATTAGCGGGCATGGTGCGCAGCCTGTAGTCCAGCTACTCGGGGCTGCGGCAGAGGGATCACTTGAGCCAGGAGTTTGAGGTTGCTGTGACCAGGCTGACGCCACGGCACTCACTCTAGCCTGGCAACAAAGTGAGACTCTGTCTCAAAAAAAAACAAAAAACAAAAAAAACTCTAAAAATAAATTCACAGTGATCTTTCATATTGATTTAATGTATCTAGAAGTATTACCAAAAGAATAATTTTAATATTGAATAAATTAAACATAAATATTCTTATATAATATAATAATGTAAATATTGATAAATTTGTTATGCTTAAATTCATTGAAATGTACCTTTTTATGTTAAGTAACATTTCCAGGGCCATTCTTTTTTTTTCTACTAAAGGACTAGTTCATTTATTTTTATATGAATGAAGGGTATCATTGGTATGTATCTAAATTATACTGGATATGTTTAAAGTGATATAACAGTTATTTTAAATAATATTTACATGACGCCAGAAAGTACATACTTTAGCAACTATTAACTTCCCATGAAATTTTAGGTATCAACTTAGATGTGTGAGGAAATACATGATTTTTCAAAATACTTTGGAGGTACATGAGCAGAAATAGTTTAGGGCGACTGCTGTAAAACACTTTTTCCACATAAGGTTGAGGGACCATTATGAATCTCCTTAGGAAAATGGCCAGTTTTTAAGGCCATCCCCAAATTGAGTTCCAAGTTGGGGTAGGCCCAAGTAAATCCGTTTCAACATGCACCCACGTGTTCTCTGCAACTAGCATTTTATAGATCTTAGCCATGGCTGAAAGGAAACACCTCACATGTTTCTGGATTGAGGGACAGAACTCAAATGAAAGCCAACAAGAACCGAGCTCACAAAGTAGCAGCACCCCTGGAAGAGCGTAGAATAGGAAGGGTACCCAGGAAAGGCGCACTGCCCTGGAATCCCTGGGCAGTTTAACAGAGCAGGACCGGGGAGCACAATCTGAGGAGCCTGCTCTCCACTGTGGTTGCACTTGGGGACATAACAAAGAAAGCCCTTTTCCATCCAAAGAGATGTAGAACTACTTGAACGCAGCCTGAGGAAAACCAGTATTTGGAGGGTTGACTGTTAACACCAAAATAAAGCATGCTCTAGCAGAGCTGAGTGTCAGCGGTAGCAGAGTAACCTTGAGCACTGCTGGAGGGAGGCGGAGGGGTACTTGCCACGAAATGCCTTGGGATCCTCTGACAGCACTGCTGGACAGCTGAGGCACCTGTTCCCTTTTGTCCACGGGTGGCTGAAGTGCGCTCGGAGCACCCGCTCACTGGGCTGTGCTCTGCAGCCCCTGCTCCCTCTTCCTAGGTCACAGAAGACTGCAGCTTTCTGGGAGCAGCTTCACCTCACAGCATCGCTTCATACCCTCACTGTCATGCTGAAAGAGCCCTCTGTTCCCTCAGGCAGAAGCAAGGCACACTGGCTGGCCTGGAGACGTGGTGCCCTCGCATGCGGCTTGGGTCTCTCACCTTTTTTACTTCCTATAGTTATAAAGTCTCCTTGCTGACAGCATCAGGTTCAATGCAAATGTTCATAAAGTCTTCTTTACTTGTCAGGTCAAGCTAACTGTTCCGTGTTGTGATGGACAGTTCAATAGTTGACAGCTGCACTTCTTTCCAGACCTCTGGGCTCACCTCTTGAGAGGGGGCATCCTGTGGTTGTGCCCAGAATGATGCCAGCCTTCGTAATATTCTCCTATACAAGGAAGGCCGGGGAGAGGTCTCTTCTGGTTCACTGGGAGATCTCTCTGTAGGTCCCGTGTACGAGATAGAGGCGTGATGAGTCTGAGGCCACTCCTTAAGAGTGCTGAAAAAGTGGGCTGCTTTGGTTTTTAGAGGCCCAAGATACCAGTAATTGCTAACTCTGACGCCAGCGTCTCTGAAGGATCCCCATAGAAGGCCAGTCATTGCAAACACAGGTTGTTCCTTTTCACCCTTGATCTGCAAGACATCAAGTGGAACAGTCTCTCCTTTCACAATGGCAAGTGCAGCATCTGTAATATGCTGGACTTTGTTTCCACTTTTGGCAAAGAGGGTATGACTCAAACTACTGGTCTGTCCCAGTGGGATAAATCCAATGGGAATCTTACTGAAGGTAGCCTCATCTGTTCTTCGAAGAACTCCAGTAACATCCTCCTGCAGGGTTCCATCCCCTCCAGCAACAATGATCACATCTGTGCTTTCCATCAATTCCAGGAGTTTCTTGGCTTGTCCCTCATAATCTGTCTTAATGATAGTCACATCCATGCCAGATAAATGCAAAATCGGGGCAGCATTTTTTTCAAATAGAGTCCTGGCTTTGCCTTTACAAGCTGCAGGATTGAGAAAGACAGTTGCCTTCTTCACTTGCGTGTTGGGCGGAATGAGTTGATTGCCAAACACCTGAGCTTCTTGACAGGCTGCTCTCCTTAGCAGGTTATCACAGTGTTTTCCATAGAGCCAATGGCCTCCCCATGTCAGCAGGCAGAGCCCAGCTGTAGTCTTCTTCCAATGATTTCGAAGTGTTGTAAAAAACACAGTCATCTTCTCCTAGAGGTTTGCACTGCCGGCCCCGCTCACGGCCCTGGCTTTGAGGGCCATTCTTTAATACACAAATTATTAAATCCCACAGTCCCTTAACCCACATTGTAGACTAATCTAATGCATTTAAGCTGCCCCTGAGAAACCGTCCTTCAGTTTATGGCTCACACAGTATAATAGCTTTTGCTTTTTTTTCACCTAAGAAGTCATTTTTTTTCCTCTTGACATGTTAAGAATCATCTTTAATAATGTTTTCCTGTAGTTGCAATGTCCCTCAATACTTCTGATGCTGCACACTGATGTGGCAGTTCAGTTCTTCTCCCACAGAAACACTCAGCTGCTGATGACTACTAGGCACACAATTCTAGCTCAGGGCCTGGCAGGTACTCTATTACAAAATCCACTCATCCAGATCAAAATGTAAGCATCCACGCTTTTCAACATGCTCCATGAATTTCCCACTGTGCTTATGACAAATGCTCCCAGTGGCATGACCTCCAGGAAACTTACACATGAGTTTACATACAAAGACAATACAGCCAAATGGTGAGGAGTGAGGATCCTGTGGCTACATTACCTGGGTTCAAATCCCAGCTTTACCACTCCTCAGGTAAGCCACTTGGCCTCTCTGAGTTCTCTATTTCCTTATTTGTGACATGAATCATCATGTTCCTTGATGTGAAAAATCAAAAAATACAGAGCCATTCTCCCTGCTTTCTCCACTCAGGGCAAAAGTTTAATGAGTAACTTCATAAATTCTCACATTGGGAATTAAACTAAACCCAAAACAATAAAGTTTACAAAGATTAAGTGTGAAGGCAATGTGTTACTTTCTTGATGGTAACTATTTCATACTTATTCATAGTATTAACGATTAATGTTTAGCTGGATGTTACCAGAAATAATGCACATTTACTCTAAGAGTTTTGAATTATATGATTGAGATGCATTTGCACCTGTCCAAACTCAAAACGGATATATCAGGTGGGTGCCATTTGGTAAAAACTTTTCAGACTCATCCATACTGCTCTTCTAGATATCCTCCGAGAGGGTTTACTTTTGTCCTTGCATTGAGTTGGAGTGTTAAATACCCTAAAAGACCTACAATTTAACTTCATTTTAATCTCTGCATTTCTGCTATGACATCACTTCATGAAAGACACTGAGGGCAAAATACCTATCTAGTAAGGACAAGAAAATACAAGGATAAAAATCAATAATAACTCAATAATATATACATAAGAACCTACCAGAAACATTTTAAAACATGTATCCAACAGTGTACCTTAATGCAATCAACAGAACCCACTCAGATTTTTAAGTAAAAATTAATTTTACATTGAATTCTATTTGATAGAATAGATCAGCCAGGATCTAACTCCAGACTCTATAGCCATTCGGCCAAGAACAATAGCACATATACAGGTCTGACATCTTAAGTGAAAACTTCACAGCTACTACCACTTGGAACCAAAATCTCTGGATCAAGTGCCCGAAAATGCACCAATACCAGCTCTGAGAACCAGAGTACCTCTATCTTTATATTTAAAGTACACAAATTCCTCCATGATTAGTAGCATCACATCTGCTCACAACTGCTTCTAAGTCTGACAGAGGTTCATCTTCTTGACAAGGTCTAAATGCCTTTATGAGGGTCTGTGAATGATGGTGTCTGTCTTCTATATTGGAAGTAGAACTTCATACATTGGAAAATGTCTGTCCATGTTAAGGTCATCCAATCCAGTCAGGTGCATCACTGGTGCAGGCTGACCACATTATGGTGGGAACTAACTAAGACTCTTATTAGTATTTTCATGCACATCAAATACACTATTTCTAATGTTTATATTTGCTGTGGTCTCTTAATCTTCCTTATATTTTTTCCCTTCACTGATTTCAAGTTGTACAATTTATTAACATGATTTAAGTTATGCTTTATTGTTAGGCATCATACTGAAGAAAGCCTTAAAAGGACTATAGAGAAGTGACTTTAATGAAAATGGGAAAGTAAGATTTTTAGTGGACAATCCTTCACCTAAAAATGAAAATGTGGTTAAAACTATTAAAACCAACTTTATCAGAACTCTGAATAATTTTCAAAGGTCTAATGCAGCAGAATGAAACTGAGTCTCTATCTCCCACCATATGAAAATGTTAACTCAAGATAGAATAAAGACTTCAATGTAAGACCTGAAACCATAAAAATCAAGAAGAAAACCTGAGAGAAACTCTTGTGAACATTGGCTAGGCAAAGAATTTATGACTAACACTCCAAAAGCAAATGTAAAGAAAACCAAAAACAAAAGCAAATAAATGGGCCTTATTAAATTAGAAAATGTTTGCACAGAAAAAAATAAAATAATAATCAAGACTAAATAGATAACCTACAGAATGGGAGAAAATATTCACCAACTATACTTCCAATGAAGGAGTAATATCTATAATCTACCAGGACCTCAAATAATATATATGAAAAAAACAAATAACCTCATTAAAAATTAGACAAATGATATGAACAAATATTTTTCAAAAGAAGATATACAAATGGCAAAGAAACATATGAAAAAATGCTCACTACCACTAATCATCAGGGAAACACAAATTAAAGCCACAGTGGGACACTACCTGACCCCAATCAGAATAACCATTATTTAAAAATTATTATTTTTATTAGAATTATTCAATTATTCAATTATTAAAATTATTATTTTTATTAAAATTGTTAAATTATTTGATTATTAAAAATCAAAACACAGTATCTGTTGGCATGGATATGGTGAAAAAGGATACACATACACTGTTGGTGGAAATGTAAATTAGTACATTAGTACTGCATATAAAACAGTATGAGGATTTCTCAAATAACTAAAAGTTCCATCCAGCAATTGTACTACTGGGTATTTGCCCAAAGGAAAAGCAGTCATTACATGAAAAAGAACACCTGAATTTGAATGTTGATTGCAGCACAATTCACAATGGCAAAGATGTGGAATCAACCTAAGTGCCCATTAATTCACGAGTTGACTAACAAAATGTGTGTGTATATATATATATATATATATATATATATATATATACAGACATGTATGTACATGGATTTTTCATGTATGGATAGTACTCCATGGAGTTTGTGTATATATATATGTATATATATGTATATATATGTATATATATATGTGTGTATATATATGTATATATATATATATATATACACAAACTCCATGGAGTACTATCCATACATGAAAAATCCATACATGAGCTATCCATACATGAACAGCAACTTGGATGGAAATGGAATCCATTACAATAAGTGAAGTAACTCAGGAACAGAAAACCGAATACCATGTGTTCTCATTTATAAGTGAGAGTTAAGCTGTAGGTATGCATGGTCATACAGAGGTCCAATGGTATAATGGACATTGGAGACTCAGAAGAGGGGAAAATGGGAGGGGAGTGAGGGATGAAAGTTACTCATTGGGTACTATTCAGGTAACACGTGTGCTAAATGCTCAGACTTCACCACTATATAACTTATCCCTGTAACAAAAAATGACTTGTTCTCTCCAATTCTATTGAAATTTTTTTAAAGTTTGCAGCAAATAAGTAAATGCTTAACCAGTAGAGAGGCCACTGAAACAGGGTAAGAAAGTTTTGTGAACTTTTAACTTAGCCTTTTCTCATGCCCTTCATTGGTGCAGCAGTTTTGAAGCTATCCAGTTGCATTCTAGGTGGATTTTGAATCTCAGAGGGAATACAATGGACTTTGTTCCCAAGGACTTATATTTGTCTGTTTTGAACTATATGTAGGTTTCCTGAAAGACTGAAGTGGGGGGCTGGTATATGTTTTACCTAATTCAGAGTTCTCTCAGAGTGTAGAAGTAGCTAAGCACAAGATATTCTGTGAAAACATTAGGAGAAAAATAAACTACCTCTGCTACCTGGACCAAAAAAATTTTTCAGGCAAATCATAGACATGCCAAAAGTTCAGAGGGAAAAGCAAAGAAGTGAGAATTTTGAGCGAATAAAAGCTTTGATGAGGTCCCCTATATAGTGAGAAATTTAGAAAACCAGATGTGTGCCAAGAGCAGAAAACATGCTCAAGCCTGAGAAGACCATATGCTGTCACCATTGGCCAGTGTCTTAGTCTGTTTTGTGTTGCTATAAAGGAATACATGAGACAGGGTAATTTATATGGGAAAAGGTTCATTTGACTCACAGTTCTGTACAAGAAGAATGGTGCCAACATCTGCTTCTGGTGAGGGGCTCAGAAAGCTTCCACTTTAGGTGGAAGGTAAAGGGGAGCTAGAATGTGTAGAGATCACATGGTGAGACAGGGAGCAAGGTTGGAGGGAAGTATCAGGTTCTTTTTCAACAACCAGCTCTTAGGGAAACTAATAGAGTGGAAACTTACTCATGCCCTTTAAAGGGCATTAATTGATGCTTGTGGGGTCTGCCTCAAGATTCAAGTACTCTCCATTGGGCCCAAAATTCTACAATGGAAATCAAAGTACAATATGACATTTGGAGGGACAAACATCCAAACTATAGAAGCCAGTCCTCTGGCTCAGCACAAGTAGCAAAGCTAAGGCAGAGTTGTAAACAGCCCAGCTAGGCATTGGAAGAGTGTCCCAATAGAAAGGCAAGTGCTACAGAGCATTTTTTAAAAAATTTCATTCTATTTTCCTCTCACAACATAATCAGCAAAATGTTCACTATTAAATATTTAAAAGTATGCAAAAACAAGAAAGTATGACACATATATAAAATATAAAAGAAGTTATTCTTGAAAAACACAGACATTGAATTTACTAGACAAAGATTTTACATCAACTCTCTTAAATATGCTCAATAAGCTAAAGGAAACCATGGACAAACAATTAAAGGAGAAGACAAAAAAACTACGGGTAAAAAAAAAGTCTATCCATAACCATATTGAAATTATAAAAAGGAACCAAATAGAAAATTATATCTGAAAAATATAATGATTGTAATAACCAATGTAAATAATCCACAAGAAAGTAAGAGCATATCTAACCAGG